AAAAAAAAATATTACCAGCATTACATGTTTTAAAATAATATTAGCATCTATACATTTTTGAGGAAGAAAATATTACCAGAAATAGATTTTTGACAAAACAAAATATTACCAGGAAAAAAAAGTTGTCGGCATGAAATAACCCATTGAAGTTGATATGCCGTAAAACACAACAAACCAAACGAAACCAAAGCTACGAGAGTTAAGTATTTCCTTTTCTGAATATGTATACATTTTTGGCGGTCTCTCTCAATCTCTATATCTTTCTCTCACTCTCTCTCTCTCTCTGCATATATATATATATATATATATATATATATATATATATATATATATATATATATATATACATATATAAATGTGTGTGTGTGTGTGTGTGTGCGCATGTGTGTGTGAATAAATTGCAAGATTATTCGCTTCCCGTCTGAGGCTTCACCCTAAATATGAAATATACAAATATTCTATGGAAAGCGAATAGAAAAATCTTCTACGACGCAGTATAAAATTCTATCAGCTTAACAGCTGTGTTCTTCGTATTATTTCTTATTTGTTCTAGGCGCCAATTTAGAAACTAGATAACCCACTTCCACGCTTATTTAGCGAATGGGAGAGTGAAAGTTATAAGCAACATTAAAAAAAAGAGAATTTTTTAATGCAGAATTATTTCCGTTTCTAACGTTAGACAGGTGTTTCAAGAAATTCAATGCCTGACATGTTTTATGCAGATAAAAAACACATGGACGATAAACAAAAACACATGATTGAGAAAAAATAATTCTCCATGCTAATTGCTTAATTTTGTCATCAACAACCAGAAGCTATGATCAGAGTTTCCAGCGACGTTTCTGGTAGTACTTATACATTCATACCACACCGCTTAATATTTGACAAGAACAATAATTTATATTCAGAATTAGCTGCAAAAAAATTATATATTTCGACAGCGCTAACAATTGGAGTTATGTAATAAACTTAGAACTCCGCACCCAAATGCAAATTTCTAAGTATGTGCTCGTTGCTGCCACGGTAAGTAGAAATATCACAGGATAAAATGAAATTCTAAGTGTAATTCTGTAAGTGGATTGATGCACCAGAACATATTCTTGTCACCTGTATCTCTCCAAGCCTGTATTCAAAAATCGTCCACATAAATACAGACAATGCAACAGTCACAACGTTACTGCATTTTACTTAATGTTGTAGGGTAGATTATAGCGCATCTTAAGCAGAATAATGCAGACAAATGACCATGTAAAAATACTGGACGACCAGAAAAAGTTTCACCTTTTAAATTAAAAAGAATGTTTTTCATTTCAGAAAGTGATCTTTATTATAACAGCAATTTATGCTTAAATTCATACGGTCAAAGGACGAAGGAGGTTCAATCGCCCTGAAAATATTTGTAGATTAGACTCAACGCAGACACATCATCTGATGGAGATGGGGAAGTGATTGAAATCTAGATGCTAGGTTAAGTCCATTAACATTGCAGATACTTCTTTGGATTTTTCCTGGAAAATTGTGGCAGCGGTGGCAGCAATGTTATGCTCAAGTCGAAAGCCGTTCCAGAAATCCTCCTGAAACACTAATTCGTCATGGCAGTTGATGTTTTGGAGGATAACTTGTAGAAATCGAAAAGAATGTAATGATGGTGTGTTGAAAAGTTCTCGTCCGTAGTCCCTTTTCAAAAGATTAGATCCTTGTTTCGGGCCGAGACATTTTCCCTGTTTGATTTTATTGATTTGTTTTTATTGGCTACCAACCCTTTGAAGGTTATTTAAAGTAAGAAAATATTTTTAGATGATAAGAATTTTTAGGAATAATCATCATCTACTGTCTCAACTCCTAGAAATTAACCCATAGCTGAGCTGGATGGCGAGGAAGTTGATTCATACGATCCCCAAGTGTATTTGCGCGTAAGGAAATATAACCAACCTGACTGGAATTGAAACTCGTCTTTCCGACAGCCAAATATAAGCCGTTATTCATTACACCACCGCACAGGCAAGGTTTCAGCATCTGGTATTTACCCATCTAGTTAATGACCATAATCGACGGTGCTTAACTTCCAACATACTTTATCACTTGATACGTTATTTTAGCACATTAACAAATAAAAAAAAATATTTCTTTGGAAAATTGCTTTGTTTATCTTTGGCTAAGAAACTGAACAGAGAGTCTATGACGAGAAGAATTTCGCTTAAAACCATATATATATATATATATATATATATTGTGATAATAGAAGGTCTGCCAAGAATAGTGAGAATTTGGCGTAAATTTCTATTATCAGAATGTGGGATATTTAATAACAACGTTGATGGAAACAAGAAGAAAATAATCTAAATGAAATTGGCTAGATTATATCCCCAAAACACATTATTCAACAAACCAAAACCCAAAACGCATTATTTAAAAAAAAAAAAAAAATTGAAAAATATTTTCAGAATTTAAAATTCCCAGCGTCTCTTGGTCATGCGCATGTGTAGACGCATCAACGTAAACAAATCTAGTCGGATGAAATCATAAGGGATGAAACGCGACACACGAAAACTTTCCACTTTTTCATACCCACATTCGTATATATATATATAAAATATATATATATATATACACACACACACACACACATATATATATATATCAGACAATTATTTTAATAATATTTTCTGTATATGCGTTTTTTTTTCGATTAATTATTTTAAGTATATGATCTGTTTCTAATAAACTGTATTAATTACATTTACCGGCCTGATTGTTCCAGAAATTTCGGAGAAAATGTGTCTCCTTCGACAGGAATCGGAACTATATCCTACACGGAACCATCATTTGGCCTGAGATGCGATACCATTTAGCTACAGAGGAAGCGTCTGTTTAGCAAAGTCAAATTACTGTTTTTAAACAAATTTACTTCTTGAACGCTCATTTCTGTTCGAAGCGTATCTGTAGCTAAATCGTGTGGCACGTCAGGTCAAATGACGGTTCCATGTAAGATGCATGTTCGATTCCTGTCAGAGGACACATTTTCTTCAGAATTTCTTGGACCTTCAGGCCGGTAAATATAATTAATGCTGTTTATTATAAACAAAGAATTTACTTAAAATATATATATATGCGTTTGTGTGTATTTCTTACTTTAAACGTTACTTTTAGAGAATATTCATCTTTGAGTAGACGCTAAGCTTATTTGTAAACGGTATTTTATTTTGTCTACCGATCTGAAGATTCTAGAAGTTTTATTAAAATGGAGACTGAGGTCAATATGGAGCGGTTGTTAATATTTAAATCTGTTTCCTCTTTGCTGGAGAAACCTTCGTTGGACAAGGCGTGTTTGAGCACTCGGCTACAAAGAACTTTATAATCAAGCTGTGAACAATCCAAACGAGTAAACTGGGAAAGGAAACATTGCTAAATTATGAAGCTCTTTGTACCCGAATGTAAAAGCATGTCCTGTTAAACGATCGTTTCTCCTGCAAATGGGTCCACAGGTTCGTTCGTTTGTTCGTCCGTTGGCGGAACTCATTGGGGTGCTCATCGATATTTCCCCCCTGCGTAGTGGGTCCTATATTGGATCGGAAGATACGTCCACAGCACCTTGCCATAAGGCTCAGAAGGTTATGGCAGATGTAAATTTTTGTAACTTCTTAGAATATTCATGCATTACACCCTAATCTTTATTTGGTAAAAATTTAATTGTTAATCATGCATTACTTTTTAAGTAATACACATATTTATGTCTTTGTTGTTTCCGTTCCTTATATTTATATTTATCTCTTTGTTGTTTCCGTTCCTTATATTTATATTTATCTCTTTGTTGTTTCCGTTCCTTATATTTATATTTATGTCTTTATTGTTTCCGTTCCTTATATTTATATTTATCTCTTTGTTGTTTCCGTTCCTTATATTTATATTTATCTCTTTGTTGTTTCCGTTCCTTATATTTATATTTATCTCTTTGTTGTTTCCGTTCCTTATATTTATATTTATCTCTTTGTTGTTTCCGTTCCTTATATTTATATTTATGTCTTTATTGTTTCCGTTCCTTATATTTATATTTATCTCTTTGTTGTTTCCGTTCCTTATATTTATATTTATCTCTTTGTTGTTTCCGTTCCTTATATTTATATTTATGTCTTTGTTGTTTCCGTTCCTTATATTTATATTTATCTCTTTGTTGTTTCCGTTCCTTATATTTATATTTATGTCTTTATTGTTTCCGTTCCTTATATTTATATTTATCTCTTTGTTGTTTCCGTTCCTTATATTTATATTTATCTCTTTGTTGTTTCCGTTCCTTATATTTATATTTATCTCTTTGTTGTTTCCGTTCCTTACATTTATATTTATCTCTTTGTTGTTTCCGTTCCTTATATTTATATTTATGTCTTTATTGTTTCCGTTCCTTATATTTATATTTATGTCTTTATTGTTTCCGTTCCTTATATTTATATTTATCTCTTTGTTGTTTCCGTTCCTTATATTTATATTTAACTCTTTGTTGTTTCCGTTCCTTATATTTATATTTATCTCTTTGTTGTTTCCGTTCCTTATATTATGGTCGCTACTGAATATTAATAATAACACAGAGCAAAGGCATCAAAATTTGCCAAATTTCTTCAAATTGAATGGATTTTATGCCCAACAGAATATTTACGAAAAAAAATTGCTAACGAAGAACAAGCGCGGCTATATTTAATAAATCATTCAATTCTCAATGGACTCAGTCGATCGAATCAATAAATATTAATATATATTATAAATATAGTAAATATTTTAAATTATAAATATTAGTGATATTATATTATGAAAATAATAAAATCATACAATAATTGAAGATAGCAAGGTGTGACTAACACAAAGCAGAAGACCAGGTCGGACGACTCAAAGAAGTGGAGAGTGTTGGTTAATGTTACATTGCCAGTGGAGGTTATTGTGTCTGGACTGAGGCCAGATCTAGTGTTAAGTGATAGCTATAAGAAACGTCTGTTGCTTGGCGAGCTGACAGTGGAATGGTAAGAAGCGATTGAAGAGGCTCATAAAAGAAAGCTGCTTCGGTATGAGGAACTGGTGGCTGAAGTCCGTGAAAGAGGAAACGGCTGCACCCTGGTACCATTTGAAGTTGGCTGTGGCGGATTTCCTGCTGGTTCTTTAAAGAGTTCCTCAAGTGTGCTGGTATCCAAAATCTGAATAACGTAATAAAGACTTGTGGCGGGAAAACGGTTTTAAGGCAGTGCATGGATTACCCAGAAATTCCTATCGAGTTGCATCCAACTAACAACAGAGACTGGTTGCAACTGAACGTCATCCATCTGTTGCGGGCCCACCGTGTGGAGAGGTACTGAGCTTAATGGGCCGAAACTTTGCTGAATCACGGCGCTCAGCTGAAAATTATAACTGGTTAGGAGCACTTGATGTGTACATGTGTTCAAATTTACTACAAAATAATCTTGCTATTTTCTGAGAGTCGATAATATAACTTAATACATAATTCTTCTTCGTTTTCTTCTTCTCGTGCCGTGTCCCATCAGAGATCTTGGCTCTCCACATCTTCTGTTACATCCTATATTGTCTCTGGATCTGAACGTTACTGCATAGACGGTTTAAGGGAAAATACGATTACTTTTTCTTACTTGTTTTTATTAGACAAAAGGAACAGAGGTAGCCTCTTGGATTCTAAGAGTCCGCGGGAGGAACGACGTCAATGGAACGCATCTCGTCCCTCCGCATATAGTTTTAGCTTGTGTCGCGAAAATGGGTGTGGGAAGCATATCGACACTTCAAGATTCTTGCGGCCCTCGTCTTTTTGGACTTAATTCCAAAACCCAGACAAAGATATTCCATCACTGTCAGAATGTGATGCTTACAGGTTTTCTGACCAAACGCTGACAATCCTGGCTCTAGACGTAGCTTTCACATTCTGTAACACTTCCTTTCCTTTGTAGGTTATAGCAATGTTTGTCGTTTTGGTATCTCTTCTATTCTATGTTCTACCAACCATTTACATAAGTATATTAGATAAGTTATTCGCTTATTTCCTCTCTCCATCTTACCTTCAATATGTCTTATGGATGTCTTATGAATGCGAAATGTTCTAAGCCATCTCTCATTATTATATGTCCTAGAAATTTCAACTGTCTCTTTCTCATTTTGGAATTAAGTGCTTCTTTTTCGATTTTCCCTAAATCAGTGTCGTTACTTACTCCAGTAGTCACTGACATATAGGACCGATATTACATAACTACTTTATACCTTTATCTTTGTTTCCATCAAAATCCTTCCCTTTTTCATACTTTGCGTGACTTTTGAAAGGTATCTGTCTCTATTTCTATGTGTTGTAGAATATGACTCAGAGTACGTTAATAGACTGCACCTACCTATCAATATGACGAGTATCTACATTAGACTATGATTGGAGGAGTAGATGATTTACTCATTTTCTCCGTTCTATATATGAGCATTTAGTAAATCTCTCTTTCTTTGTTTTCCCTAAATACTCTTTTGTTCCTTCGTTACTCTCCCTAAATACAGCCTTCGTTACTCTCTAAATACGGCCTTCGTAATTCTCAGCTATGTTGAACAAAGACTACATTACAACACTATATGCCTTCAGATTACAGTATCGCAATTCCCCTCCTCTTTAAAGATATTTAAATTTTTGTACTGTCTTGAACTGGTGCTAACAATTTCTAGTTCGCATCTTATTTGTTTTGCTGACATCCATACATTCTATCTTCTTCCAGTTAATAATTAGTCCTTTTTCTTGCTTTTCCTAATTACGTTCTACAGAGGTTCCTGCACTTTCCTTTCTGTATCTGCTGTCAACACTGTGTCATCTGCATATCCTATGAGTTTTTTAAGATTGTGCCTGCCAATAATGAATCATCGGAGGGCTTCTTATTCTCACTCTAATAACATCCTTGTCTTACGCCCGTTTCTTTGTTTGTGTATGTACTGAATTTGTTTTCTATCCGTTATGTAGGCAGTCTGTTTCCAGGAAACGTTAAGTATTATTTTCAGATACTTCCTAAATGATTCAAGTATACTTATCAGTTCAAACAATTCTTTGTGATCTACTTTATCAAATTCTTTTTGATGACCTATAAAACAATGACATATATATATATATATATATAACAAAAAGAAAGAACAGTGAGATATATACTCCGGTGTTCTTATTGATATTTTCATTTTTACAAAACAGTGCTCAATGTAAATTTACAGAGCATAAATATTTAAATATTATAAATTAACTGATTTAAAATATGATTTCTTCGCTACACATGACTAACATTTTAAATCAGTTAAAGTTAACATATAATAAAACATTGCTATACATCCTTTGATGTTTTATCTCTTCTTGAGATATCATTCTGACCATAGACATGACATTCTTTGTTCCAGTGTCTTTAAAGAAAGGACTTTTGTTAATTTCAATGTGATTCTGCTACACGATCTATTGATCATAATTCTATCTCAAGAGCCGATTGGTTAACGATTGTTACTGAACTTGTTTGCCTAACATTATATAACAATGGCGTTGCTCGATGTCTAACTGTAGATATCTCGAAGGCTTTAGACATGGTTCTGCATGCTGGCTTTCTCCACAAGCTCAAGCCGAATGTTTGATTTAATACAATCAGTCTTACCAAATAGGGTAAAGAAGCTCTTTCAGATAATTTAACATTAACCAGGAATTATATCGTTGAGCCTACGTTGTTTCTTATTTTCATCAACGACCTTCCCTATGTCATCAGTTCCCAACTTGGTATTCATGCTGATGGCACAACTATTTATTCCTGTATTAGTAGGAAGTCTGAAGTTCCGGAAAAGTAAGTGTGCCAACTGTTCTCTATCACCCCACGATCATTTGTTAACCGGGGCAAGAAATGGCTTGTAAATTTTAACGGCTCCAAGACCAAATTGCTTTCTTTTAATCAGTATATAAATCTCTTTTGCCCTCCATCAAAACGGCTAATCCTAATCTCCAGGATATCAACTCATTGCACGTCCATTGTCTCACGTTTAATATTGAGATAAATATTATATTTAATCAATTACTAAGTCAGATTCGAAAACGATTGATTCACTGCCAGATATTAGCGCTAGATATTTTTTCTTGACAGAATCCATCTTGCACATTTAATCACCACTCACTCGTCCGCGCAATGAATATTGTTGCCGTATCATGTTTGGTACTCCGACTATATATAGATTCGCGGGGCACCTCGGGGCGGTGTAATGGTTAGCAAGCTAGAACAATTGCAACTGAGTCGTGAGTTCGATCCTCACTGGGTGCCCCATACTTTCGGCCTTGTGCCACATCTAAGCTACGCTTAGAAAATCCCTATATATAGATTCGCGACAAAATCCAAAGAAGAGTAAATAATGTTATGAGTCCTTCCCTGGCATATCGACTTCAATCACATTCCCACCCCCGTGAGGCAACTCCCCTCTGCTTTCACAGAACATGTCTGTCGCCATTACTGATCTGGAACTCATTAACTAATAACAAACTGAGCTCACATCCAGCAAGTATCGATATTCGATGATAATCCTCTGATTCTTACAGATTTTATGTCAGAAGCCATTTTATTCAATAACCAATCAGTAATGCATTAACAGAAGTGACAGAAAGTTTTCAGCCTGACCAACTCTTCGAAATTGTTATTCCGTTGACAGGAACAAACATTAGAATACTGAGTTTGGAAAGCGTCTGTTACTGAGAACTTTTACTTGTTTTCTGGTTTTCTTCATTAGGAGAGGAAAAGTTCCAACCCAGCTTTTACCCTTAACTTCATGGGTTAAAATAATTATAGTTGAATTATTACTTTCTGAAGAACCTTTACAAGCGCGCGCACACACACACGCACACATAGACATGATTATGTGTGTTTCTATACAGAAATGTGTGAGGGAGGGTGTTTGCAGATAATTTTTTTTTAATAGATCGACGTGTAAACGAGTTGAGCTATGGAAAGAAAACATTAATCTCCCGAGAGGGGAATATTTTAACTGAAATATGAACTGCCCGGCATGATTCTTCCTTTTAACATCACAAGTTCTGTGTAATTTCATTTAAAACAAAAAAAAGAGGAAAGTCGATCCTCTGAGACAGCAACTGATGTTAATAACTTTCCTTCCCTATAAAACCTTCCGAAATAGTTCTTTTCTACTGCAAGGAAAAATTATTATTATTATCATTATTATTTTTATCATTATTATTATTATCATTATTAGTGTTGCATAGTTCTTTTATTTATTTATTTATTCTTTATTCATTGTCCAGTTTATCTAAATGCATTATTTTTTCAATCAGTTTTTTTTTCGGAGTTTTCAAAAATTTACCTAAAATTTCATTGTCGATTCTTCAAAGCTTTTCCGTAAATGTGCTTTCTTTCTCACACTCATTTCTTTCCCCTCCTCTCATTTCTTTCCACATCTCTCTTAATTTCTCTTTCACTCTCTCACACATACTTCTCTCCCACTCTCTCTCACATTTCTCCCTCCCTCTATCACTTATGTCCCTCTCTCTTACTCACTCTCTCTCTCTTTCTCTTACTCTCTGACATATACATACTTCTTTCCACTCTCTCTCTCACACTTCTCTTCTTCTCTTTCGCGTTTCTCTCCCTCTCTCATTCTTTCTTTTTCTCTCTCACATACACACACACTTCTCTTCCTCTCGTTGTCACTTTTCTCCTCTCTTATTTTCTCTTTCTCCTTCACTCACGCACACACACTAACTCCCTCTCACTCTCACTTCTCTCATTCCCTCTCTTACTTTCTCTCTCTCTCAGACATATGCACACTTCTCTCCCTGTCTCTCTCACTTCTCTCCCTGTCTCTCTCACTTCTCTCCCTCTCACTTTTCTCTCTCTCTCTCTCTCTCTCTCTCTCTCTCTCTCTTACCGTAACTTTTGCTCTTATTTTCTTCTTGGATCGATTTTCAATTAAATGTCTTTCCTTCTTTTATCCTTTTCTTTCTTTCTTCTTTTTTTTTTTAAATTTTCTTTCTTTAGAACATTTCTTTCGTTCGTTTTTTCTTTGCATAAATCTTTTTCATTCCTTCCTTTTCTTCTTTCTTTCCAAAAGGTGGTCGGAAGAAAAGAATGA